CCCCGCCAGTGATGTGACCTATCACTGCGGTGTCGTCTGCGAACTTTAGGATGATGTTGTCTTTGTGGGAGGCAACACAGTCACGGGTGAACAGGGTGTAGAGGATGGGCTCTCTTATAGTCATTCCATAGCATCTCTGTTGGGTTGAGGTCTGGGCTCTGACTTGGCCGCTCCTAAAGGCGGATTTTGTTTTTCTGAAGCCATTCTGTTGTGGACTTGCTCCGGTGTTTTCGGTCATTGTCCTGTTGCATCACCCAACTTCTACAGAGTTTCAGCTGACGTACAGACATTCTCATATTACCCTGAAGAATTTTTTGATACACTTGGAAATTCATCTTCCTCTCAATGACTGCAAGCTGGCCAGGCCCTGATGCAGCTTTAAGGTTGGGATGATGTTTTCATCATGATATCCAGTTCAATCCTAATTTCAATGTTTTACGTACTGTAGACTCATGAACATAGATGTTATCCAGTTCCAGTGATGCCTTCAAATCTTTGGCTGTCACTAGGGGTTGTTTCTTTACCTCATTGATAAGTCTTCGTTGTGCTCTTGGGGTCATTTTGACTGGGTGCCCACTTCTTGGTAGAGTAGCCATGGTCCCAAAGTGTCTCCATTTGTAGATCGTTTGCACAACTGTAGTCTTTTAAATCACTTTGTAACCCTTTCCAGCTTTATGTAAATCCACAATTCTCTATTGTAGATCCTCTGAAAGCTCTTTTTAGCAAGGCATGGCTCACAAAAGCATATCCTTCTTGTGCAGAGCAAACTCAAAAAGTTTGAGTGGTTTTTATCAGTCAAAGTAGCTCTAGTCTACACCTCCAAACTCATTTTCTTAACAAGACTCCAGGTATGATAAAACCTGACTCCAATTAGCTTTTTTTGAGGTCATTAACTTAAGGGTTCACATACTTTTTCCACTAGCGCTATGAGGTTTTTATGGTTATTCTCAATAATAACATGAAAGATATGAAATTTTTTATGTGTTATTATTTTAGGCACATTATATTTGTCAATAGTCTTGACTTAGATGAAGATCAGATCACATTTTATGACAAATTAATGCAGAAAACCATGAAATTCCAAAAGGTTCACATACTTTTTCTTGCCACTGTATATTCTGTATAAAAAACAAACATGGCACTGCTACCATTCCAATCAAATATAATATACTGTAATCAATTTCTGTAAGCTACTACACAACATGCAACAATTTTAGGAAGAAATTATTTCATGACCCCATTCACTTTGCCTATAATGCCAAAGTTTACAAGAGTAAACTGTCACAGTTCACATTTTAAATTTTTAAATAAAAAGGGTGTGTGCACTTACAGTACATTAAACTGGCAAACTATCTTTAGCATCATCCGCTGAAATTTCTTCAGTCCTAATGATCTGATCAAACTGTCTGTGGTTAACACAGATGCTGTTAAGCATCATCAGTGCGTAGTATTGGACAGCTTCTATGAATACGAATGCTAGCACTACAGGATTGTAACAGGCCCAACACCCAATACTGATAACAGCATCAGTGCATCTTTAGTCC